ACAAAAAGCTCTAGTAAATTGTGTCAAAGATAAAAGATTCAAATAAATCTGTATATGAGTGCCGTCAAAAGAAAACCTGGAATCGGGATTTCAATTATATTTTGTGTACAGTTAGCTATCTATCAATTTGATAGATGGCTAACTGTACACAAAATATAATTGAAATCCCGATTCCAGGTTTTCTTTTGACGGCACTCATATATTCTAATCCTATAATCAACCTATTGATATAAATGTACCAAAAACTGTTTTAAATATTAAATAAAAAAACTTTAATATTTAATAAAAAAAGTTAAAATTATAAAACATGTTTTGGAATACTGTAATAATTTTAGCTACGTATTAAAAAAATCAAAATTATATATAAATTTATATATATTTGCTAGATCTTTATAGTACTGTATAAAAATAGATATAATAATATAAAGGACAAACCGCAAGAATTAGCAACTTAACGATTAATCGATTAGTGCAACTAGTTGTCAATAGAGTAAATAATTAACTAATCAATTGAAAAATTTTTGACTATTTTGTAACACTAGCTCTAAGCTCCAAGCTTGAAACTAAACTACTGCATACACTTAATGTGGTTTGACTATAATCACAATTTCTAATAGCATTTATTAAAAAAAATTTTTTTTGAATTTAATTATAAATTTCAAATTATATCAGAAGTAAAAATTTTTAGACTGTTCTTTATCTACTTTTAGAAAAGTTGAGTATATTTGTTACAAAACTAAACTTTTTCTAGTCGGAGTTAAATCTAGAATAGAGACATGGCGATTTCGCGCGTGGATAATGTTACATCGCCTCGTATCACAGCACGATATAATTTGCTGAGACATTGAAATATAGAACCCGAACTTAATCGTGATGTGCTAACATTACTTTTTGTCATGTAACGTGAAGGTAAAATTTAAATGACGATATGGACTAGGCGCTGAGAAAAAGGTGAGAAATCAATAATTCCTTAAAACATTTTTTACATAAATCAATTCAGACAAGATTCGAATTACTTGTTGTCTAAGACAAAGGATAGTTACATTATTATTCTTTGCAAAATTTTATAACTCCCGATCATTTTTTGTATCATGCAGAAGATAGTCACTATCATTATACCCAGAAATCGGTAATCGGTAATCGCAAACGATATCTGATTTGCGTCATGACATAAAAAATAATTGGGGTCACATAATTTGCAAAGAGTAATCATAAAATCTTTTATTTTCTTGATTTTTGAAGGGTTTATTTTGTCACTTTCTTTTCTCAGCACTTAGCCATATTACATCATATCGATAGGCTGATTAAATCACAGATTGAAAACTCTTAGTCTATCCTCAAAACAGTTTTTAAGAAGTGACTTTTTGTTGACGAACATAATAACTTGATACGATAAGCAAAAATCAGAATCATATTTTATCATAATTCAATAATTATAAAAATGAATAACCAAATGTTTTTGAAATTTCAATAAAGATTATTTCCAAGGTTCACGCCTGTGTTCACCAGTAGAAATCACAGTCACTGGATCACCGACGTTAAGCACAATGCCTGAATGATGAAATAAGTGTGAATTAATCCAGATTGAAAATGAAGCTAAATAAGTAAACAAATAAATACCAGGTCTGTTATGAATAATGTTCATTCCTAAAATAAACAGTAAAGCAAAATATATATAAAAATTTTGATAGTTTATGAATGATATAGTTTATGAATGATTAGATTCTTCAATAAATTGAATTAATTACCAAAGCAAGAATAGTATTTAGCTCCTGCATCGACTCTGCGATATGATTGTAAAGTTTTTAATACCTGCTTATTTGTTTCACCCGTGTCTGGGTTTACATTTGGCACTATACAATATTAATGAATATATTAATGAATATATTAATGAATGGTTTTTATGCACTGTAGTTCGTGAACACATTTAGTACAAATTTCTGAACATTTTTTTATTTACCTGTACATCTAGTGCATCTACAAGCAACGAAAAACAGATTTTCTTTATCATTACCAATAATAATTTTTTTCCAAGTATCTTCCTCAAAGGGACCATTACACCCTCTAACAACTATGTTTGGACGAAAGTTTCGGATATCAACTAGTTTAGATAATCGTTTATTGAGATCATTTAAAGATTCTTCTGATAACAGTAAAAATGGATATCCATCTGCGAACGCAATCTTTTTTGGTGTTTAATGTTTCAAAATTGGAAAGAAATAAAATTATTATGTAATTATACATAAAAATAAATCCAAACTAAGATGATCAAAAAATTAAACATAATATTATTACCTTGGGTTGATGTCCAATATCTTTTGGAAGATTTCTAATAATCAGTCTATCATCTGATTTAAACACAATTCTAGCTGAAATTCCTAGATATTTAGTAATCCATTTTGAAGATTCATCACCGCAATCACATACATCAATGGTATCTTCCCAAATAGTAGCCTTATATTTAATATAATCTGATTCGCTAATGAATATTAATTTTGTTAAATTCTTTAATTCAGGATCCAAAGCAATTGAAGACAATAGTGAGAAATATTATAAATACTTGGGTAGGAGTGGCAAGCGTAGCTCCTCCATATCAGGAGCAGAAAGTACAAGATCCCCTCCTTTGCTTTCATCCTCGGAATCCACTTCTTCAATCTTTGGTGTTAAAAGGACGAGCTTTAATTGTAAGAGAATTTGCGATAATTATATTAATAAGAATTCTTAATGCCAATACACGGTGAATTTAAAAATTACTTTTGAATGTTCACGTTGAGTCACAACTTCACGGTTTTCATCTATAATCATCCAGTTTCTATCGTATCTGAATCCATATTGTCCAATTTTCCATGATTTTAACTCTATACCTTTGCATGATTTTAAAGGATAAATATATAAAGCTGATACTATAAGGGTTGAATTTTTCGACATTTTACGATGGAGTAAAAAAATTTTTGACATCAAATACCTTTTATGGATCTTAAATTTATTACTGTAACACAATTTTAGATCAGATAACACCAGTTAAAAAATATATATTTGTGTAATGACTATTAATAGTGGTTAACAAAGTTGCCTTTATACTACTGACTTATATCTAATGATGGATAAGTATCACGGGTAGGTCCATGGACCTTAATAAACGGTGTGGGTAAAAATTGCCCTAAATTTAACTACGACAATTAAAAGTTACGGCAAACGGTTTTGATTGGGCTGGAACGGAGGGGAGCAGAGTGGAAGACTCTAAATTCAGACAACGTCTGGATTACGTCCCTGTAATTATAATAAATCTTATCTGCAGAATTTTGATCATGAATTTGATCATAATAATAAATATATAATAAATAATAAGTTATTGTGAAGCAAAAGTACAAAAGAATTAATACTTCCGAACAAAAGACTGAAAGAAATGATGCCAGAAGAAAAGATCAACTTCAAAGATGCCTGAAAACAGTTGTCATAATATAGCAAAATATTATTAGTAAAGAAAATGGCCAACTTTATGTCAGATGATTCACAAGTGATACGTACCAATTCGCCAAATTGAGTGTACTCGGGAAGGAAAATTGGGAATTTGTACGTACTAGTATGCAATCCCTTTGTGTCTTGCTTGAACAATTGTAGCAAGATCCGGGTCTGTTACATTCCACCAATTTTAAAACCTTTAATAGACCCGGGTATAGTGATAGTACGTACGTACATGGTCGAGAGTTTATGTACTGTAAAATTTGAAATGTACGCACGCCCTGCATTTATAACATGCCGGCCGTAAGTAATAATTACAGATATTACGAAATACAACCTAGGTTGCAACCCTAATTACAACTAATACTCAAATTGTAAATATATCGTAGTGCCATAATCGTTGCAAATGCCGTAATAGTCGTAACAAAACATAAGTAATTGTATATGTGAACAAAAATTAATTCTTAAAATTGATAATTCAAGTGCTACCAGAAGAAAACTAGATTTTGGGTTTTTGAGTTTATAACTTAATTTAACTTCTAAAAAAACCTGACCAAACGATACGAGTCCGTTAAGTTATAGACTCGAAAGGTCAAAAGCCAATCAGAAGACTTTTCTGAACAGGCGCATTGTAGAGCTTTAGTACGTATATAGTTTTTGAAATTAGCAATTTATATTCTTTAATTCTGTAATAACGATAATCTAAACTTTCAAAATTACTGCAGAATTGGATCATTACACCCAATATGACAATTAACCATTACACCCAACTATTTGTCACTTGATCATAGTGAATTGACTCGACATTACTCGATGATTGAAAAAAAAAATGCTTAATCGATCAAAAATCAATTATATAAACTTTGATCGAAGCATATAATTTATAAGCTCGAGTATATATAATCGATCAATTAGCAGGTCAGTAATTGTCGCAGATCATAATTTAAAATGAAATCTACATTTTCTATTCAACCTTCTAACCTTCTAAAACCCACTTGTTTAATATATTTTACTCTAATCATAACTCCTAATTCTAACCCCTAACCCTAAAAAATACACACCAAAAAAATTTATTTTTCGAGATTTTATATTATTATTTCATTTTAATTTGAATTTCATTTTAATCTGCCACATGAACAAATAAGCAACAATCATGTTTGATAATATTTCTCTTCCGTCAGTTGAAGAGGTTCAAAAATGGACGCAAACTGACGTTATTAATTTCTTACAAGAAAATGCGGATGAAGATAAGTTAGACCTTGACGACGATGACATCGCTAAAATTAAAAAAAATAAGGACAAAGGCTCACCCTTCCTTGAGTTAACACGAGAAAAACTTCTAGCCTCTCCTTATGAACTTCCCGGTGGACCAGCAAAAGTTATAGAGAAGTTAATCAAAACAATTAAGGGCGAAGGAGAGGGTAAGTAGTACCACGACTGCATTCGAATATTCCAAACCTATACTGCTTTCTCTGCAATAATTTCATTTATTAACTTGGGTCTCATACTATATCCACACCATAGTCGAAAAATCATCTATGCTGAAACAAGAAGTACTAGAATTGAAGAAAGAATTGGAATTTTTGCGAGATCGGCAAAAAGGTATATTGTATTTTATAGTGAGTTGAGTTATTATGTAGTTTAGTTCTAATTAATTTTTCACAGTATTTTCAATCAAGGCATCGTATGCGAAAAAGAGCAAGAAATTTAGCTGGACTGTTGACTTTTTCAACTTGTCACTAAAAGAACTAAAGACATATATTCACGACCAATTATCTTTTCCAGAAGAAGTTGATCCAGAAGATTTAATTCTTTGTAGCAGTAATGATAATGCCAAAAATAATGAGGAGCAAAGCGTAATTAATGATAATTCATATGAACAATATCTCAAGTCCTTTGTTGCAACGAACTCTCTAAGTCTTAAAATCAATGTTTATACTATACGGAAACCATATTCAGAATGGACTCTCAATGCTGTTAGCGAGATATTCGAATTGCCAACTCATTACAAGGATATTTCTAAATTCACCTGTGGTACCGATAAACTTGAAGATGAAAAGTCTCAAAGGTTGTTGTTGCATCTTATTGAAGATTTAAAGATCCATCGATCAACAATCCGCGGTGATTCAGAAGCTTATAATAGCAAATTTGTGTTACTATTTCTTGCGATGGCAAGTTCCGTGTGTAATGAGAAGGTTAAAATATATCCTAAAGAATATATCCAAGGGAAATATGGCTGTGGACCGGTAGATTTTTGTATGATATTGGAAAATATAATCATTAGCGTTTTAGAGGTAAAAAAAGATGATTTTATACAAGGTACAGCACAAATAATTGTACAGCTTCATTCATTGCTTAAGGTAAGTAAAAATATGAACTTAATTATATTAATTTTATTCGAACCTAACTCTGTTATTCCATAGAACTCTCAAAAGAGAAAACATGAAGATGATGATATTGTTATTGATAAAGCGTATGGAATAGTTACTGACAGTAAATTATGGTATTTTTTCGAGTGTTATATGAATGGAGATAAACCAGAATATAAAATCCATTCAGAAGAGGGGACTTCGATTAATTGGGGTAGCAATTTTGAGGAAGGGGTTACCGAGGTCTTAGGACAGATTGTTTGGCTATTTAAAGATGCAGAAAAACTAATAGAATCAGCAAAACAAAAGAAAGTTAAATTAGTAAAATAATGTATGGTAATGAGTTTCATTTTGCTGAGTCTATTTCCTGATGTAATATACTCTGCTAAATAAAATGATCGTTATATCAAATCTTGTCATTTCAATTAGTGATGGTACCCGATCAAAAAAATGCTACCCAGTTATCCGACAGGTAAACCCGCAGATTACCCGGGTGATCGACAAATATATCCAGATATAAAATCTTACCCGATGTACCCGGGTAGAGTTACAGCTTTTCTCATAAATTCTGGAAAATTTGGCAAAAGTTGACCGACCAAATATTTGTCAATTAGTGATAAACTTTTGATTCAGATGTAATTACATCTGAATCAAAAGTTTATCACTGCTAAATCAAAGCTTATCAAATCGGCAAATATTCGGTCTGTCAACTTTTGCCAAATTTTTCAGAATTTATGAGAACAGCTGTAATTACAGCTATTATTATAATTTCCAGGACATCTGCTCATTACCTGAAATCTTTTTGGTTGTTCGGTAAATTACTTAACTCTCCAGGAATTACATCATTGCCTCCGGATTGAAGGTCCAAAGACAGCGATTTAGTTTCCGGAAAGTTAGATAATTTATTGAATGATCAAAAAGATTTTAGGTAATGAGTAGATATTCCAGAAATTATGATAATAGCTGTAAATAAAAATCTGCTGAATGATTTTTTAGTTGTTCTGGTTAATTATTGATTTTGGTATAATCGAATCTTCTATACAACTATTGGGCTCTATTTATATTTAGCTTTGATAATTCAACCGGATATTCAATTCAGGTATGCTTATTTGATATTATCTGAGTATACTTATTCAGATATTATCTGGATATGCTTATCTGGATATTATCTGGGTATGCTTATCCAGGTAGCTGAGTTCATAACTCGGATATCCGATTATCTGCAGATAACCCAGGTGATACCAACCTGGATACCATCACTAATTTCAATTGGCATTTTGATTTCGATTTTCATACTACTTATTGTATTAATATATTAACAACATGTGGTCACACTTAGAGCATTTTGAAATCTTTACCTGATTTTAAGGATATTCTATGGAATAGGTGGACAATATAAGGAATAAGCTTCACTAATGATTAGTAATCATTAATTTTTAATAGCAGAGTTGTGGAGTTTGCAGAGTTTGCCCACCTATTCTATAGAACATCCGATTTTAATCACATGTCTTGTTACATATTTTATTAATTTTAATTAAAATTAAATAAATCTGCTTTATATAAAAAGTTATTAAAATGTGATCCAAATTGGTTTTATTAAAACAATGCATCACTGAGTTTGAAGCTGAAAATATAGAGCTTAAACATAAGAATATAAAATTAAAGCAGATTATAGAAAAAAATGTTGAGTTTGAATAGTCTGGAGAGGTTGGTTCTGCACATTATTCTCACTTTATGAACCATGTTAATATTGAATGGCTGGATGGTGCTGAAAATGGGAAACTAGTCACAAAAAACCATGCTACTAATTTGTTGAATAAGATACTTCGAGCAACAAATTTATTGCAAAATCAAAATGAATATTAAAATTTATTAAAAGTGAATCAATTAAGTTTAGCATAAATAAATATAACTAATATTCGTTAATCTATTAATAAAAAAAATACATTTTTGTATTCTTGCTATATTGAAATTTGATTTAGCAATTATCAATAAAACTGGCCCCAGTGGCTTTATTTCATATAAATAATTAGTTTACTTGTGTGTATATATTGCAAATTTATTTATTGTGTTGTACTATCATCAATGAATATATGATTGAGAATTTTAAAATTTTTTTAACAAAAGTGATTAACAGGGCCAAAAGTTATGCATTTGCAATTTTTATTTGAAATGAAAGTTATTAATTAATAAAAAATATTCTCAAAACATATTTAATATTTTTCTAAACATTTTTGATCGTGTCAGCAGAGCTGATAAAATTATATAAATTGATATTAAATATGCAATCTAAAGATGATTCATTAAGAGAATTAAATTCTAGGCTCATGGCTAAAATTGATAAGCTTAGAAGAAAGAATATCAATATCAAGGCTGAGAACACAAGATTAAAACAGGCTATAGAAGAAATGCTAACATGAAGCTGAGTATGAGATTAGAATTAAAAAACTAGAACAAAGTAACAAAGAGAATATAAACTTTAAAGATAAAGTAATGAAATTAAGAAATGATATTGAGAAAATCAAAAAGAAAGATCAAATCGTTACTAATATACAGAATGCACTTTCTACAGAAGAGATTTTGTTTACTTCATTTGATAATACTTCAAATTCTAATAATTCAAATGAACTTAATGATTTCTTATATGAGAAAAATAAGAAAAGTATTAGTAATATAACAAAAAAAGGAACTGAGAAAAGAAGATTCAAGCTTAAGTTTCACACAATGTTTCTTCAGTGCTAGCTGATTCTCTTTGCAATAAAATTTTGGATAATGAGACAGAGGAAAAACCATGTAGTGATCTGGAAAAATGGTCTCAACCAAAATTATATGATATGAAAACCATAACAAATTTGTCACGATCAGACAATATATCTTCTGAAGTATCTAAATTAGAGTAAGATAATAAAAATGATGAGGTTGATGCCAGTCAAATCGTAAACAAGGTATTGTCTCAGAATATCTTTTGCGTTGAAATTAATGAGTTATATATTGAAAAATTCAATAACTTTGTCCCAGGTTTGGCACAAAGTTTATTAATAAAGTGGTTATAAAGAGTCAAGAAGAAATTTTATATTGGTATTATTATTTCTTTGAGTTTGAAAATAAAGTTAACTTATATCAAGCATCAACCTATCAAACAACTATATTCAGAATGCACATTGAATTCAAATTGGATTCAAAATAAATATACATTTAATATTTCTACTAACTCATCAACTAAGTTTTTGGGAAGGCTAAAATATATAGAAAACGGAACTATACTAAACCTTCATGACAACTTGCTAGACCTAATCTACTCTCTTGCATTATGTAATCCAACTACTATACCAACACAACCTATTATTAAACTTCAAAACAATGCAATTTTTGAAATCTTTAATGATAATCAATCTTCACAATCACTATCACAAATTGCAAAAAACAACTTAATCTACTTACAACTTACATTTTATACAGATGGCTCAGTTAAAGATATTATTACAGAACATTGTATCATAGGAATCAGCTGGATCCAAACTCAAAATAACACAATTATTCACGCATACTCAGCAGAAATCCAACTTTAGCCATTATTATACAAAGCCAAACTTATTGCAATACTTTCTGCTATCAGTATATACTTTAGAAACAGTTTTATTATAATATTTACAGACTTATAATCAATTATATTTAAGTATAAAAAGCTTAAACAATCATTACCATCACTTAACAAATAATATTCATATAATTACTGGCCTATATAGCACACTTTGCTTAATATTATCAAAGCTTACGAACTAGATATTTAATTAGAGAAGGTTATAGCACACAGTGACAACATCTTTAACAATCTAGCAGACAGACTAGCAAAAAATGCTAACTATTTAGCTACACTACAATTTATAGATAATAATAAATATAACTTATCATATCTTATCTAATATTAACAATCGCATTTTAACAACCAACCCGTAGATCAATTAAAAATATATGTAATGCTCACATTATAGCAATATGGTTATTCCAACATTATATAGACAATATTACCTCTATCATCACAAATTAACTGGAATGCAACCTGGCTCTATCTAAACAACAACTACAAAAGGTCAACTACTTATACCAACTTTAAGCTATGTTAACAAAAAATATTCAAAATCAATCTTATGCTATATATATTTTCTACTTTAATACATCAATACACATTATACTCATCAACAATTTCAAATAACAACTGTATAATATGTGAAGCTTGAGAAAGCCAAAAATACTGGCTTATCTGTCCAGATATATCCACAATAAATACACTTATTACTAATACTATACAGCAATTTCTTCATCACTCGAACATGAATATCATCAATACTCAGCTACAAGAACTATATAATACACTTATAAATCACTAATATTTTTATTTAACAACTGACATAATAATATTAGCCTATATAGAACCATTCAAAGATTTATCTTAACATCTTTTATACAATCTATAAGAGAATATACAAACTCTAACCAAGTTGCAACAAAAACAACTATTCAACTCCTTATACAAATCTCACAAAATATATACAACCAGATATAGATACCATACTGTGCTAAACTTTTAAAATAGAAACAACAAAATAACATACTTTCTAGATCTAATCGAAGCTTAAGAACTTCTCATAGAACAACTAATCCTAATATAATCTGCTGCAAAATACCATATACATACAGCTATCCTTGTGGACTACCTGACCAACAATATGATAATAATACATATTTACCTCTTGGAAAAACAAACAAAAAAATATTATTATAGACTATCATATAGATTAAATATAGTATACCAACTAATAACATTTTATATTATCAAATCTAGATGAGTTTTAACTGCTTTAGTAGATTTAGGTTGCAGATGAATTAGAATTTCTAGTTTAGATAGCTTCTGATAGTCTGAGTTTCATTCTTGTAAAATTTTTGTAACTTGGCTTTGGCCAGAAAAACCTATAGTGGATTCTCAATACAAAATATTAATAAAGATAAAGGCAAAACTTCTCCTTAAAAAAAAAAATAATAAAAAAAGATAAATATCAGCAACCTGATAGTTATCTAATATATATCTGATTCTTGGTTATTTGTTGCTAATATTTTAGATACCTGATATTTATTCTATTTATATTTAATTTATAACTGCTATATAACATCCTGATATTTATACATTTGACCTGTATTTGTCTTTATATTGTTTTTGAAGTAAACTTATAATTAACCAGTAGGCAGCATTTTTTCTTAATACTCTAAACATTTTGCTAAAATTGTAGCAAAGCCCATTACATTCTGAATAGTAATCTTTATTGTTACAGAGTAACTTTATAATATTATACTAATAATTTTGTAAAACAATACTTTATAATTTATAGTTTATATTTTAGATATGATTTTTGTTAAATTTATTGGAATTTATATTGTATTTAGAATAGTAAAATATTAGAATATATGACAGTATATGTCATATACTATTGTGTGCCATATGTCACTATGTGCTATATACTACTGTATGCTGTATATTACTGTATACTATATACTACTGTATGCTGTATGCCACTGTGTACTATATGCTACTGTGTGCTATATGCCACTGTATATCATATACCAGTGTATACTACTTGTTATATGGTTATACTGTATGCCAGTATATACCACCTGCTATATGGTTATATGTAAGTGTATGCCACTTGCCACATGGTTATATAATAGTATATATTAGTACAATATACATAGCTGTATATTAGTGTATGCCAGTGTACCCCACATGGTTGTATGCTACTGTATGCCAATCTAACAGTTATTTAATGAAAGGCTTTTCCTCTTTATCTCAACAGATATTCTTAGACATTCCTAGACATTTCTAGAGTAGATAATAAATAAAAACTATTAAATACTCTTTAGAATATTGTTCTTTAAATATTCCTATAATATTCTCTTCATTCTAATGACCTTGTAATATCTTTATTGTCTCTAAACCAAGTAAATAAATCCTTCTGCTTAAACCTTCTCTTTTGCTCTTCTTAAACTCTTCTTTTAAAAATACTACTATAACATTATCAACAAGCTTATCAGTAAATGCTATATATGAATTAATACAATAGTTTATAAGTGTTTGTTTAAAAAGTACAATATTTTTAAGAAGCTTTTGAGGTCTATAAAGAGTAACTTCAGAAATCTCTAAAGTTTTAAGAATTTTATTGAATGCTGCTTCTGAAATATTATATTTGTTTTTAATTTGAAAAAGTTGCAAGCCTTTAAATAAGTTCTCTAAAATAATTTTTAATACATATAAGTAATATATAGTAAAAGTATTAAAAAGTTAAATATGTTTTAACAATAAACTTATCAAAATTTATATATTTGCTATCAAATTTTTTATTACTATCCTTCTTATCATATTTCTCACTATATTTTTAATTACACTTCTTATTATATTCTTTATTATCTTCTCTATTATATTTATCATTATACACATCATTATAATTTTCTCTATTTTTCTTATTATCATATTTGTATTCACTTTTACTATTTTCATCAAATATCTCTTCTATAGTATTTTTATCAAAAATTTCTTCTATAGCATTTTTATGGCTTTTAAAATTATTTGATCCCACATAGTTTTGGGTATTTTCATCTTGACTATTATATAATAATGATATTATTGAAATGGTAAATGATGATGATGATGCAACTGTTAAAGAAATAGGAATAAAGGGGTATCCATAATTTATGTAAACTCAGATACCATATATAGTAAAAATATCGTTAAATAAAAGTTAGGTGGCATATACAATTTATATTAAATGATGTTTGTAATACCAAATACACATATACATAATGCTATTCCTAATGCAGGTGTTATAAAAAAAATAAAGATCTTGAAGGTAGCATATACATATGCTCTGTATTAATTTACAATCTGTGACTAGTGAAAGTTTTAAGTATCACATATTACATACATAGGCACAATCTATCATTTATTAAACATGTAAAATAAAGATTTTTATACATCGCTAACTTTAAATCTTTTATAAGAATGTTCTTAAGAATGTGTATTTTGTCTTTTTTTTTTTATTCATACAATTGAAAAATTCAATTAGCATGTTCTATGTACTTATTAACTTATGCTAGGTGCTTCATCTTCTGTATATGTTATTATTACTACACCAGTCTTATCTTTTTCATAGTGATCTGCACATCCGGACATTTGTGTATTTCTCCATATGACAGAAGATTTGCTGAAACAAAATTCTATTTAATAAGTTGTTAATGAATTAGTTTAATAATTTATAAGCTAACAGATATAAATCAACATTTAACCTTTATATCATTACTGCTAGTGTTATGACAATTTTTTGAGGATCAAATTGTAAACTGACAATACTGTGATCATACAAAATGTATTGATTACAGATCCTGTTCTTAGGTCTTATATCTTAAAAGTTTTAGTCAAAAGATGAACCATTACTGTTAATATATATTGTAAGTATATAATAATTAAATATACAATAGATACCTTTATACTTTTATCAATACTTCTACTAACAATATGTAAATCATCAAACTGAAGATATGTTATAGGATCTATAACAAAAATTGGAATTAGTATAATATAGGAAACAGTATATAGTAAAGATAGATACTTAGCTTATTTGCGAAAATATTAATTTCTTGTAAAAGTATTCCTTTTGACCCATACTTTGTTTGTCAATATAGAATGAACTTTAATTTAATATTTTTATTTATCAGTCTAAAAAGCCATAAGATAGTCTGATTGGTGTTGACAAAAAAGCTATAGTGAGTTTGGGTTCTGATATTATAAACATGAAACTTTCTGAAGTTAATAGATCTGATGAAAAGATGGTTCATTTAACAAAAGACAAACTAT